TACAGAGAGTTAGTCTGACTGCCAAGTTGTTCTATGGGTGCTGCTGTCCCGACGTATTCCATGGGTCCTATATATACTTAGCTCTCTTCATATGAGTAAATGCAACATTATCAATCAATTCAGAGATATGGAAGAATACACTATGTTGGCAAAAACAACCATGAATTTTCATTTGTTTCCTTTGACCATCCTTTGCTTTGACTAAAAAAGTACAGTTCCATGGTGCAGAGATAGTCCTCAGCTTGGTTCACAGCCAGACAAACCTAGGGTCAGTTCCCAGCTCTAGTATCAATGCTGTATGAATGAGAAGGTGCCCATTATTTTATGAACTCGAGTTCCTTCCTTTATACAATGAGGGAAGCAACAATACATAAGTTAAAGAGTTGTAGTAAGATGAAGACAAACTACAGGAAGCATTGAAGAGCACCTAATTATACAACAAGCCTAATTAAATGTCTCCTCCCTGTGTTCCTGTTGACACGTTGCTGCTATAGGAAAACAGAAGAAGAAATGCTTAGGGCAGTCTTTAGCTGAAAGAGAGAGAGAGAGAACGTACTTTCCCCCATTATTAGCTGCGTTACTGGGCATGGGTTTAATCTCTCTGTGTCTCAATTTCCTCTTCCATGAAACAAGGATAATAGTAGTATCTTCTTCATGGAGCTGTTTAAAGATGAAATAAGTTAACAATTGCAAAGCTCCTAGAATAGTGTAATATGTAGAATATAGTAACTGCTACAGAATGTTCACTATTATCATCATTATTGACTAGAAGACAATGCAAATGTCTACATATGTAAATTTCATGAACAAGGCATTCTTCACACATGGCTGAAATCATTGGGTCTTGAGGGATTGTCAGCCATAAGTATTGTTTTTCAAGAAGTCATGCTATATCGCTTATTTTTAAAATACTTGGGGCCAGAGCAATGATCTATTTCTTCAAATAGATATAGATCGGGCATAAACCAGGCAAACCCTGTGAACATAACTGGCCACTGAAAAAAAGTAACAAGTTAGACATTAAGAAATGTCCCTGTGTGCTCATTATACTTCAATAAATCATCACAATGAGTAAATATATCCTCTCCCTGGAACTGAACAGATCACAGCAGACTGGGATCACCCATAGTTGTTGTCTCTCCCTACAGGAAAGTTTTTTTTCTCAGCACCCTTGAAGCCACGCTTGGTCATGGGATATGTACTAACAAATGAAATATGCATGGAAGTGTCATATCTCTTTACCTAGCAGACACTAAGAGCCAGCATGTAGCTTACCATTTTCTTTTTTCCCATAGTACAAGATCCACAACGATGCAGATGGAATTTACTCTATCAGCTTGAGTTCCAGAGTGAAAACTATGTATAAGAGAGGCAGTGTTGACTTATATGAGCGCATATTACAAACAAGAAATGAAACTTTACTGTCATAAGCCTCTGAGATTTCAGGATTATCTGTTATCATAGCATAACCTGGCCAATTCTGATTTAATTATGATTAATTTACACAATTTACTGTGGCAAAAAGGACTCACTAAAGTAAAGCCAGTCTCACACAACTAACTTTTCCTCCCCTAACTGGAATATATTCCTTTTGACTACTGACTTGTCAATTCACATAACGAAGGAGCACAGAGCAGCGCCCATTCACAGGTTTTGCAAGTACTGTGCCGGAGTGCACTATCCAACAGCACCCTCACTCGAGCACCCAGCCGCATCTGCTGAGGTCTGAGGAGAAGAGGACAACGTGGCTTAAACAGTTGGTCTCCCAATGACTTCATGTAAGATGCAGACACAAGTGTCATTTCTGAAGGAAGGCAGGGGTAAGCACACTCTGTAATGAGAAATGAGCAATTTTCCAAAGCCACGAAGGGGTTACTACACTTAATAGGTCAGTGCTAATGAGAATTCAACTACACTAGTGTCTCTATAGCCTAATAAGGGAAAAACTGAGAACTCTTTAGCGTTCGAATGAAATATCAATGCAAAGCGTTACGAATAAATCAAATCACACCATTAAAAAGGCTGATAATTTATCATAATTCTCCTTCAGTGGAGGACAAGGTACTCATGCTGCAACAGTAGAGAAAGGATACACATCCTACACAGTAGAAATATGGGTTCCTGAATCAGAGCTCCCTGCCTAGCCCAGGGCAGGCAGCCAATAAATGCTTATTGATTGATGGCTTGCTAGTTATTGCTTTGTACCAGGCTTGCTCAAGTACCTTCTCTGATGGCTTCTCAGGGGTTAGAGTTTATCAGCTAGCATGAACTACTTTTGTGAACTCTTTCCCTATTCCCATCCCTACC